ATTAAGAACAACAATTAATTAATTACTTAAGTCAAGCCGCTTCTCGACGACATCCATATTCTCCTGGTATCTTAGGAGTAAACCATGAAGGTAAAAAAGAACAAAACGTTAATTATCTGCATATTGTAACAGTTTATGATTCTTACTTTGCATTCATCATTATTTTGATAATATTTTCTAAGATAATAACCGATGATTGATATTAATGATAAAAGTAAAAAGTCTAAAACTTCATAAAGAATTGTCTTAAATGCATTTACATCAATTAAATGAATTTGATGCTGTTGAGGAGCTGTGGTAATGGTGATGGTGGTGGTAGAGATGTTGAGGGCGGTTAAAAGATGTTCAGAACGTGATAATTGAATGAGATTACTATACACCTGAAGCAAATAAATCATTTCGTTTTTACTTCATTCATCGCTGATGAATATTAATTACGGGAACCCAATGAGCAGCAACAACAAGAGCAAGAAAAACGCAAGAGAAAAGCATTTCAAATAGATTCTTTGTTTAGTGATAATATTTATCCATGCTGAACTATATATACATCTTAGGTAATTGGGATAAGTAGTTAAATTACATATATTGTTCTGTTAGGGTAAACATGTATCGCTACCGAAAGTGAGGTGGAATATTTCAAACATATTATTTAAAGAACTGACAAAATGTTTATTTATGTATATTCTATATGTACGCGTTTTAATCCGACATATACTAGATTAATCGTCTATTATGACATTCTTGCAGCTCATCGTAAACAATCAACTACCGCTGGCTCATGTTTCTTCGTAGAGGAGCCTGAAGGTACAGCAAAAATTCACCTTTATAACACCCTGTACCACTTATTAATGGAAGACGGTGTTCATATTACGCCAGTTGCATGAACAGGAATTGCTGCAAACTTACTGCCTGAAGCAAGAACTGTATATAGTCATTTTAAGCTTCCTGTACCCATCTTAGAAACGTCTACCTCCAGTATTCGACCAAATAGCAAAGAAGTTGAAGCAATTAGAAAGACCGAAGTTTTTATTTGGGACGAAGTACCAATGGCTCCATCGTATGCTCTCAAGGCAGTTGATATTTTGCTGAGAGATATAATGAGCATCAATGCAATTTTAGGAGGAAAAATTATGGTACTTGGTGGAGATTTTCGTCAAGTTCTTCCAGTCATTCGATTCGCAAACAAATCAGAATTAATTGCAGCAAGTCTCAAAAGTTCTGACCTCTGGCCTTACTTCAAGGTCATGCATCTACAACAGAACATGAGAACAGAACCAGGTGAAGAAAAGTTATCAAAATGGTTGATTAAACTTGGCAATGGTGAATTCTATAGAAGATATTCCAACTTTATGCAACAGAACAATTCTTTGTCCCAAAAATGAACACTCTCTCCTGGTAAATGAGCAAGTACTTCAACGAGTACCCGTAAAAGAAAAGGTGTATACAAGTATAGATGAAGTAGAATGTGAAGATGGTGATGATGTAACCAACTACCCAATATAAACAATTAGCCGTGATCGGTTTTGTCATTGCTTAGGGGACTCATCAGACAACATGTTCAAATGCATTATTATCAATTAATGATAATAACAAAACTGTTTAATCTATCCCTATCAAAGACAGAGGAGACAGTGTTAAGTATGGCTAATCAATATGAACAAGCAGCCGTGACCTGTTTCGTTGTTATCATTAATTGATGATGAATTTGGATATGCCGTCTGATGAGTTCCTTAAGCAAGGACGAAACGTATCACGGCTGCTTGTGCATTTCTTTATCATTTAACTTCGACAAACCAATCGATTGCTCAAAATCAAAAGTTGCGAAGAGAAGATTGTATTTGTTTTTCTTCAAGATAGATAGGTCAGTCTGTTTTTCAAGTGAATTGTATATTAAAGTAAATATCTGATTTCTCTATTAAAATCAGATATCAGCGATCAGAGATTTAGTGAAAACTGGTAATAATTTGAGATTTGTCGCCACCTCCAGCACAACCAAATTTTTTTTTATTATGCAAATAATTGTACAACAGATGTTGAGTGTAACGAAACGATAAAAGTCGCACAAGCAATTGACAAAAATGACAACAAATGATCCATTTGATATACAAACATACAACAATGAACTATGATTAATTTAATCGAATGATTAAATGATACTGAATAAATACTCTACACTCACACGACAAGTAACTTATTTTCCGTAGAATGGACTGCAAAGACAAATCTTGTGTTTATCTAGGACAAATAGCGACAGAATGCACTTGGGTATGTTTGCACAGTAGGAGTTTGGACCAAATCTCAGGAAGCAAACTGAGACATATGAATGGCATGAGAATTGTGGAAAATCGTATCAAAAGAGTGAAGTAAGAGATTTGTAAAACAGCAGCAAAAGTTGGTAGACAACAGTTTTGCACAATCCCTACAATGAACGATGGTAAAGTCAGAATGAGGAAGAGACTTGCAAGAGTTAACAGCTGAATGATCATACGGCGGTGTCTGTGCCATTGAAATCGATTATTCTGTACTTGTCTCTTTTGCTTGATTATCCGTACGATTAGCATTAAGATAAAACTAGTCACGATGAAGATAGGTATGAAATTATGTGCGATTCGAAAAAAGAGCGCCACAGAAGGAATCTTCAATGCACATGAGTATCCACAGAAGAGCGACAACATATTGAATTGATTTGCACATGGATAGAGAAGAATAATCACGATGTTAGCCAGAATTGGATAGATAATTGTCATTATGAAAAGAGGAACGTAATGAAATAGTACTCGCCTACGATAAGTGGTGAATAATGAAGAATAAAAAATGAGTAAATATCTTTCCATAGAACTCCATGCCATCGTCCAGTAAACTGAAGTAGCGAATAGAGCATTGAAAAAATTCCAAGAAATGCACATTGCATTGGTTGACGGTGTTGCGCGGCCCGTACGTAGATAATTCAGGGTAAACGGATGATTGAGAAACGAATCAAATATTGAAATAATTAGTAAAATCAATGATGTGTGATTGTAAAGAGTTAAACGAAGTTTTCGATTCGATAACAAGTGAGTGAGTGTGAAAATAGAACAGATGATAGATGGAATGTGAAAGATTTGCATGATAATATATCTGATTTGATTGGATGGATCAATGATTGCATTACTGACAGATGTTGTGTTGAACATTGATGAATACAAGGAATGTGAAACTCCATATATACTGAAAGGAAAAATAATTACATTTTTATCTGAGAATGGTGTCAGTCGTCAATCTTTATTCATGATATGAAGTCATAGAACAGCTCAAATGACATCTCTGACTAGAAACTCGACTCTAAAATAATACCCATGTAGGAGTCTCTATGAACATAAACATTTAATGAAAAAAGTTGTTACTTTTGTAACTGAAAACGCTTTAAAAATATGTCTTTGAACAAAGTCTTATGAGTTATTCTGAAGTAACTTCGTATTCATGAGAAGAGACACATGAAGATTCGTCGAAGGACATATCGTGAACGCATTGTCACGGTCCAAAGGAGAACATCTTTTTCTTTAATTCATTAAGCTCATAGAAAGTTTTACATGGGTGGTTGCAACCTTGTCGAAAAGATGGAAGTTAATCTAAATTATGACAAACAAGAGAGAATAAAGAGAATAAAGTTGCTCTTAAGTGTGAATGAGTGCCGATCTGTTTTTGTTGCCATCTTATAAACAACACGGTTGAACGGGTGTCAAATTTACTTTAATATTTAAAGTCATATTAAAAAAGATAATTAAAACGATGTAAAAGACAGTATTTCTGTGAGCTATTATGATCCCATCTTTTTCTCTCAATGAATGTACGGATAAAATTCTCCTCATAGCACTTCTAGTTGTTTTAAGAAAAATAAAATGCACTGAATTGAAAATATGTTTAGGGAAAAAGTGTATCATAATTAATCATATGAACGATTATTCGTGTTATATTATATCTTTCATTTATTTTCCAAGTCTTATTATCTGTGCCGAGAAAGAAACACACATACTGAAGAAAGAAATAGTGAGGCGATAATATAGTCAATACACACACTCCTTTTTGACTTTGAATGTAAATAGTGTGCTTGCATTTATATTTGTATGCCAGCAAGCAGTCGTAACACAACTACAACGATATTTATGTGTTTTCATGAAATATTTAAATTGAGAACATTCGATATCCTGTCACTAAATCTTCCTAAAAGAAACTACGTCGACACTTCTCACAAATAAGATTCAAGTACTGTTTGTAGACATAGAAAAATTTTCTTCATTTTGTTTTCCTTTCAATGCTCAAGATGCTTTCTAGATTATATGGGATGAATAGACAGAGTATTACGAGTTCTCTTATGTGTAAAAGGTTGACAAACACAAATATAATCTTCTATTTCTGTCAAAAAATCGCTTGTTTTGCAGCATCAACGACAGGAGAAATTTTCAGTGGCGAATGTACTACTATTGGTTTGATCTTGACCCCAATAATGCTCCAAACTCTTAAAAGATTCGAAGTATACTGTAAACACGAATGAATTAAAAATATTTCAAAATCTCGAGGAATGTGAAGAAATGATTTGATTGTCAATGAAAAATATTTTTGTCTTAACTGTGTCAGATTGTCTCGGCACGGAATTAGTATCATGCGTTCATGATCTAAAACAAATATTCCCTTTTCTGAAAGTAAGGGTCTACAACACAAAAATGTTTCTCTGTCTGCCTGTCCAACCAACCAACGACGAACTTTTCTATTTTGTAATTTCTGAGTATTTTGATCGACGTTCTTTATAGGTTTTCGGGATCCAGAAACTCGAATCTGAATCCCATTTGCCTCGAAACCTCGTAGGAGGTTACAGTGGAGGGTTTGGGATATCAACTAATAGAAATCGAGCTTTCATAAAAATGGTTCTCATGGGGTAATTCTATGTGAAGAATAGGAATCGGAGCTCTGCTAGCCGCGAAATCCAGCGGTGACCACTTAGATAGTCCGTCTTTCCAAAAGAAATGACATTATTTATGGAAGAACGTTTAAAGAGAGTCCCGTAAGTAGTGTCTTGCGGAAACAACTTTTCGTCGTTCCCGTACAAAAAATTCCTTGTTCCCGTTCTCATCCTCTATTCCCGTAATGCTTTTGAAATTCTCATTTCTGTTTCATTTTTCAGGTTTGAGAAGGATATTACTAACATGTACTAGCTTCTTTCGACACCGTGTAGTGTACAATACCACATTACAGCAAACTTTTCATCAAATGCAAAAGCTGAAAAACACCTCTATATGTGAGGAGCTTTTAGAAACTAGCGTGTTCTGGCAAGATATTTTTTGGTTGTTGCAGCTTATCCACAGACGTGCAGACATTATTTTTCAAGTTCTTAAAGAAAACATGCAAGCTAATACGTGACTCTCGCCCTGATATATATTTACGTGCAACAATCTTGTATGTTCGTCGAAGGTATATGGCCTGAATGCAAAGACCAGTGTTATATGTGTTGATCTTCAGGTTGACTAGAATTTTCTCATACTATACATGTCACTACAAAATAGTTATATATACAAAAACTACTACCAAAGCGATTCTACATTGACATCCATATTTTCGCTACTTTATAGTATAATTGCTATCGCATGCAACAATTTAGTTTTTTTCTTCCAGTGTACTTTTTTAATATCTCATTGAAATGAAATCATTCTCACATAACCGCACCATATTAACTCATAAAACCTATTCAATTTTTAGAACTCGTTATAACTGTTATGATCCATAAGCACGCGTACTTAATAGTTATTTGATAATTATTATACTCTTTAGATTTTCTTGTACTTCTAATGTATGTTGATGGTCGAATTACGTACAGGTTCTTCTTATAAAAAGATTATGTGAACTCGAATTTTATCTACGAAAAAACCTTCTGCATGCATATGTGCTTGTAAGCATGTGACCTCGACTAGATTAAAAATAAAAAGGTGTTCATAAATATATTTTCATAGATATGCAATTAAAACAGAACTTTTCGGAAACGTCAGTTTTAACATTGTTCCCGTTCTCGAAGTCTCTACGAGAATTTCCATTCCCGGAAGAGACTATTATACAGTACTATTTTACATTCACCGGTTTGTTCCTCTGGCAGGTGTGGGGTGTGGGGTGTGAGTGTGGGTGTGGAATAAATTATAAACATGACCCACACACTCACACCCACACCCACACCCTATTCGATATGTAATTGAAGAGATCGAACAAAACCAATCATTTATAAGAATGATGAACAAAATCTCGACAATCATTATCAATAATGACAATGAAACGATGATAATATTTCATCATACTTAATATAATGTCAATCAAATAAGAATTGATAATAGTTAAGAAGACATTCCATAGTAATTAACTAGAAGAATGATTCGATATTTTTCATCAGTACAATGTTGTCGTCACACGTAGAAGAGTTCATTCAGAGAATTTTGAATGATTAAAATCTATCATCATGATAAAACATTATTGACAATAGTTATTATTGATGGAAAAATATTTTCAATGACTAAATCAATAACAAAGATATTTTTCTTACCGAGAATGATCGTATTTTGATTAAATCGAAATAAACATGAATAAAATATCTTATAATGATTGAGAAAGATATCCGATAGTAAATGAAATAAACATGTGTATGATAATGATATTTGAGACGAAGTTCGTGACGAGTCATTTATCTTCTTAATGTAACTAATTGAATGTGATGAATTAAATCTACAATTGATTGTTGATACATACAGAAATAATATGACCTGAAAAGCATCATTCATAAGAAATGTATTATGTTATCAAATAAAAAAAGCAAGCACTCGATTTGTCTAGTCTATAAGAAGTCTAGTATGTGTGTATTCGAAAATCAATTATTACAGTTAGATACACACAAAATACTCCAGTATGATCAAGGACTATCTCATCTACGAATTGATTGATTATGATCTTGTCCCTTTCTTCAATCCATTGAGAACAATGAGTGAAAATGATTGAACAGAAAGACATGAATAGTAGATATCATTCTAATTAATCCTTTGGTTGAAAAATTTGTTCAAACAAAAGTTAATTGACTCAATACATTGTTATAACTACGTAGTCTATATCTCTAATTCACAGTACTAGAATGAGATAATAATGCATGATCACTATAGAGAAATTAACGAGAGAAACGACATGTATATCTTCAAGCATGTGTCAACAGAATAAAAGAAAATATAACTATTGGAATGTACATATATGTATATATAATATCGAACTAGAATATTGAAGGAAACAATTGGCACATATATAATACTATCTAACATGTCCTTGTACACAGAAACGTTTCTTCTGAAGATTTTCTAGATTTTAGCAAAGATTGAAAGCTGTTAAAAAGTAAAACCAATTGTCTACTGATATTCAATTTGATTATACTGATTTTCTCATTTTCACTCTCACTAGATGAGGATCAGCACAACTACATGTTTCGATGCATTTTGTGAAGATAAGAATGATGTGAAAGAGATAGATCTTCATCCTCATTTACTTTCGTCAATTGATTCTCTGTACGATGGACCTAGTAGAAACGTACCATATGAATAAATACCGAATGATTTGACTGTTAAATGGACAATATCGAATGCATCAAAAGATGTAATTCTGTTGATAATCAACTGAATGAGAGTTGAAATGACAAAATAAGTGTAATTAAATTGAATTTCAGTAAAGAGCTTGATTTTACCCCTGAATGACTCCCATGTTTTATCCGTAAGAATCAGTTGTATAATATTTATTATACGTTACTGTTGTTCATCAAAATCAAAGAGTTTTTTATCTAAATTCCATCGAAAAAATGCTTTCATCAAAAGTGATCTCAAATGAGTTTCAATATACGAGAAAATGACTGTAATTCATATTGAAATTAGTCATAATCAAAGGGTGCTT